TGTGACTGTCAGTTGATGTAAGAAGACCCCACCCACTGTGGATGGTACCATTCCCTAGACAGTGGTCCTGAGCCATATAAGTGGAGAAAGCGAGGGTGTGTTTATTCTCTTCACTCTTGGCTATGAATGTGATTGGCTGTCTGCTTGAGCTTGTGAGCAAAAATGCCCAGAAAAAGCATGCATCTTCTGTAAGGCTGATCAACTGATCAGAACTTCACTGACTGTGGAGGTTTGGAATGTTGCAGATCTAGAACCTAATTCCAATTGATCTTGGGCTGTCTTCAGCCCCTTAAGTACCTATTTCTTGCCCACCTCTGTCTGACCAAACATTCTGTGACTAACAGGTAAAAACCTCCTGTGTGTATTAATTTAAGAAGACCCCAGCTTCCGCCCACCCAGTGTCTGAAGTCTCTAGCTCTTTTGCTTTGTCTACTTAATGTTTCCACCAATGCATTCGAAATCGCCTTGATTTATGACTTTTCTTTGTTCTGTTACTATCAAAACTTCATGAAACTGCTTCCACGCTGGAACATGGAGTTTGGGGTGAATCTGTGTTCCTGGGCCATGGTCACTCATATTTGGGTTCTGAATAAACTCGTATCCTCTGAGTTGAGAATTATGCTTTTGTGTTGACAAATTCCTGCTTTGATTTCCCCAAAAGGATGGATTATAACCTGGAATTTAAGTCAAATAAATCCTTTTTTGTTGTTGTTGGGGGTTTTTTTTGTCACTGTTTTTTTGGTCTTTTTGAGACAGAGTCTCCTTGTAGCCCCAGCTGGGCTGGAACTCACTATGTAGACCGGGCTGACCTCGAACTCACAGAGATCTTACAGAGGCATGCTTCTGCCTTCTGAGGGATGGGATTAAAAGTGTGCACCATCATGACCGCTTTTTCTTTCTTTCTTTCTTTTTTTTTTTTTTCCCAGACAGGGTGTCATTATGTAGCCCTGGCTGACTTGGAACTTGCTATGTAGACCAGGCTAACCTCTGCCTCCTGAGTGCTGGGATTAAAGGCATATACCACCATGCTCAGCCCTTGTCCAGCGTTGTTGTTGTTGTTGTTGTTTTTTAATCACAGCATCAGAAATGAAAGGAGAGTACCCTCTCTGTCCATCATTCATGGATATGGCAAGGGTGTCCAACAGCAAGCCAGAGGGCATCCCTCCTGAGGGCCTGACCTGACAAAGTTCACAAGCAGGTAAGAAAGACCACCAGAAGTGTGTGTGTTCTTACACAAAGACCGCTGGAGAGTAGCCTTGTACTGGGCTTGTGTTGACATAGGCAGCATCTACTAGCTGACTAGGAAAGAGCAGACGCCTGGTTGTACAGCCAGGAGGGGACTCCATTTGCATCAGCCCCAGGTCTTCTCTGGGGTCATCAAAATGACGGACTGGAGCATGTCCTCACCTGTGACTGTGGTGATCCTCTGCAGCAGGGCCTGTTCCCAGAGTGACTCTAAAGTGTGCAGGGCCATCGATCCAGGATTCTCATAAAGGGGCCATGTGACAGACTGCCAATCAAGCTTTCCACTCCTGGGTGGAGGGAGGCTGTCAAATGCCTCCTGCTCTTCAGAATAAGCACTCATAGAAGCACTTAAAGGGGTCTTATAATAAAGACTGGCTTGTGGAGCACTCTGTACAGAGATAGCAACTCCAGTAACAATTAACAGCACTTAATAATATGCAGTATTTGATGGTGTCTAATCCTGCCCCAGGCCGTAGGGGCAATGAGTCCCTCTGGTCTGCCTCACAGCATCCTGACCTTGGACTTCCATCAGACAGAACTGTAAGGATGCCTCTGTCCTTAAGCTGCCCAGCTTTAATATTTTGTTCTAGCAGCCAGGCAGACTACAAGAAGCTGCAAGCCAACAAAAATAAGAATGAGGGGCTGGGTTTGTTCCCCACCCCACATGAACTGGGCATGATGGTTGGGCTGTTCAGTTTTTGTCAACTTAGCACAAACTAGAGTCACCTGGAAAGAGTGAACTTCAGCTGAGGAATTGCTTCCAATGCTAGGCTGTGGGCTTTTCTGTGAGGCATTTCCTTGATTGCTGATTGATGTAGGAGGGCCCAGCCCTCTGTGGGTGGTGCCATTCCTGGGCAGGTGGGCCTAGGCTGTGTAAGAAAGGTAGCTGAGCTGCTAGTCAGCAACGTTCCTCCTCCATGGTCTCTGTGTCAGCTTCTGCCGGCAGGGGCCTTGAGTTCCTGCCTTGGCTTCCTTCGATGATGGACTATAAACTGTGAGATGAAATAAGCCCTTTCCTCCCCCAGTTTGCTCTTGGTCAAGGTGTTATCCACTACAGCAGAAACCAAACTAAAACAATTATACATGCTTATAACCTCTGAACTCAGGAGATGGAGGCCAGAGGATTGGAGTTCAAGGTCCATATCAGCTACAAAATGAGTTGAAAGCCAGCCTAGGATACATGAGAGTTTATCTCATAAAAGAAAAGAAAAGAATCTAAGAATGAACAGAGTATTCAGAGAACTAACAGTGTGACCTTGGGGTACCAAGACAGTTGAGGAGAACCCATCTTGCCCTGGAGAACTGGGCAAGGTGTTAAACATAGTTTAAACTGTTCAAACCTACAGCTACTGTTAATGACGGACCCCAAGTCCTTACAGTACACTCTGCCTCTGATTTCCTTTTGCCGTAGTGGAGATGCTGGTGGGAGTGGGTAGGACGATTTCACTCCCTAATTGGCAGCTGTTGAACTCTTGCTTCTTTGACTGCTCTCAGCAAAAGGACTGTCAATCAAATAGCCATCCAGACTGCCGTTTTGGCTGTTTTGAATGCTCCTCAGATAGCTCCAGAAAACTATGTGCTGGATACGGCTGGTTGTCCCGGCTTCTCATGGTGCAGCCTCAGACAGGACTATTTCCAACAGCGTGTAGCTGACTTTCTGTTCTCATAAGCCCTGGTGAACTCTACAGGACCCTTTAACCATTTCCACCCAGGCCAGAAGTACTCACTTCCCCTGATGGCCTAGCGGAGATACCTGCTGTGACTCTGTGTGTCTGTGTGTTATTTTGTTTTGCTTTGAAACAGGGTCTCACTGAGTAACTCTGGCTGGCCTGGAACTCACAGAGATCTGCTTGCCTCTGCCTCCCAACTGCTGGGATTAAAGGTGGGTGCCACCATGAGCAGCTTTCCGGCTTCTGTCTCTCACTGAACTCGGAGCTTGCCAGATTGGAACTGCAGAGATCCTCCTGTCTCTGCCCTTTGACCCAGTGCTAGGATTATAGGCTGGTGCCACCACACCTGGCGTTTTGACGTGGGTGCTGGTGGTTGAATTCATGCCTCATGCCTGCCTGCAAAGCAAGCACTTTACCAGCTGAGCCATCTCCCCAGCTCTCTAAAGGCTTCTCTTGACTGGTCTTTTCTTACCTACTTTTAGTAGTGTAGGCCAAGCTGGTAATAGGAAGAAAGCCACACAGGGGCAAGAGGGAGGCAGCGGCGGTGACAGCTGAATATTCAATAGGCCAAGAGACAAAGGTGAGGGGGCCACTGAAGAGTTCAAGAGAGTAACCAGGACAGAACAAGGAGGATAGGGAGGGTGGACAGATTTGAGGCTGAAGGATCAAAGCTAGAGTCAGAGAGGAGAACGCCTCTGGTCAACGGGAGTCCAGAGAACTGCCAAAGTCACAGTTGTCAACAACAGATTTTCTCATAATCACTAAGCCCCCAAGCAAGATTTTCAGGATAAATAGTGGTACATCCAGCCAGTGAAATATTACCGAGCCCAGAAGCAACACAAACGTCCCACGTCCCAGAGCACAGAGGAAACCTAGCCCTGTGCTCCCGGTAAAGCCAGCTGAGGTTTCCTGGTGCTGAAGGACAGAAGACCTTCTGGAAACGGCTGACGTGCTCCAGCGAACAGCTTGCTGAAGCCCCGGGGAACCAGAGGGGACCGGCTCCTACCGCACCGTGGCGGCCGTGTCCCCTCACCAGGCCTGGGTCCACACCCGTAGGAAGCAGAGCCCAGTGGACGGTCACGGAGACCGACCTCAGGAGATAAACCCTCAGCGGGCTGTGCGGCCCGAGGCTGTGCCGGGCAGGGACGGTGCTGGACGCCTCGTACTACTGCGTCGTGTGGCTGAGTCCCAACTTCTCCACAGATCAACCTACGAAGTATTCTTCTAAGTCGGCTGACGGCGGAAGAACGCGGAGAGGAGGATGCGGGCAGGTGAAGAGCTTTTACCAGAGACAGAAAAGACGAGACCTGCTCGAACCCGGACAGGACCCGGGAGGCCACGCGCACAGAGCCGAGGAGCACGTGCAGCAGGCGGGGCGAACGCATGCGCCCTGCGAGGGAGAGCGAGGACGAGGACCGGCGCATCTTCCGGAACCCGGTGACTCAGCGCTTTCGGGTCTCCCGGTTGGGGCTCACGGGAGATATGCAAATGAGCTGGAGCATCATGGGAGGTGGGCCTTTATAAGGGAAGGGTGGGCGCCCACCGTCCTTTGCCGACTTGCTGGCGCCCAGGGAGCGCTTTTGGGGGTTGGTGCGGACTGGGGTGGTGAGATGGGGAAGGGCTGGTCCGGGAGGGCAGGGGTGGCCCGGGGCTGGGGTGCGGACCACGGGCGTGGGCAGTGGCCTGGGGCTGGTGGGCAGCCGTGGGTGGAGGGCAGGAGGACGGACCTAGCTAACCCCTTCGGTTGGTAGACCAGGCCGAGGGCACGTTGACCTTGAGACCCTTGACGATGCCAGAGCCGGTGGGTGCTGGAACAGTCCCAGGCCTCCTGGGGCTCAGGATGACCTGTGGGCACCGAGAGGCTGGGCTGACCCCAGCACGCAGCGGGGATGCTGAGCCTGACTCCTTTGCAGCTCCCAAGACATGGAAGCCAGTGCAGAGCTGAAGTTTCCGGACGCTCGAAGGCTGCCAACTTCTGCAGGGCCCCGCTGAGGTGGGACCCGGGCGTCCCGCCCCACCGGTGTCCCGGGCACTAGAAACCCCTCCTTCCTCAGCCCCATTTCTCCCCTGTTCCTTGCTCCCTGTTCTCAGCCCCTCTCACCTGTCCTCAGGTGTCCAGATCCTGTGCATCTGACCCTCAGAAGCCCCTGTCAAGTCCTGCCCGCAGCGTCCACTCCACTGAAGACACAGGGAGCGGGGCCATGTGTCCCCCAGTCCGCATGCGCCACGGGGCGAAGGGCCTGTCCTGCCTGTATGCCGCCTGGCTGTACCAGCTTGTCCACGGAGACCAGATGCAGATCTGCTTTGCTTGCTTCAAGGCTGCCTTCCTGGTCGTTAAAAACATGTTGGAGATGGGAGACTGGGAAATGTGGAGTCCCGAGTCCTCCGAATTTTCCGAGACAGAGTCTGAGGAAGACACGGGGTCAGAGCAAGACGAATGGCTGGAGTTCAGCTGGGGAGAGGGCCAAGGGCAGCCTCCTGAGGATGACTCTGAGCAGGGAGTTCCTGAGGCCCAGGCCCCAGCACCTGTAGGGGCAGTGATGGTGGGACTGGGACCCCAGTCTATGCCCACTGAGCTGGAGCCTCAGGAAGCAATTCCCCTGGACCTGGGCCCTGAGCATGCTGAGTGGACCCAGACCCTTCCCTGGAGATTCGATGGCCTTTCTCCCTGCTCACACTGGCTCATCCCACCTCTCTCCTGGGGCGATATTTTCAGTTTGAGCCCGTCTCCAGGGCAACCTGTATTGCTGGAGCTGAGCCCCACCTGGCCCATGGACCCTGTGGAGGCGGAGGCCTGGCTGGTAGAACTGAAGTTCGTTTTCTTGTTGGGTAGCTTCAGTACCACCTTCTACTTGCTGTCGATGACTCCCTGCTGGGCAGTGAGGATCCCCGTCCAGCGCTGGCAGGTGTTGCTGCACTCTGGTGAGGCGAGGTTGGCCAGGCTGCAAAATGCCCCTCAGCAGGAGGACGTGCAGCGCTGGAAGCTGAGCATCCTGGAGCCCTCAGAGCTGGGGATAGAGATGGTGCCTGCAGACTGCAGCCTGCGGAAGGGAGGCTTCACCCTGCACTCTTACTTGCCCTGGCAGAATGGCACTCCAGAGGCCTGGAGCTGGGAGCCGAGAGAGCGACTGCATGTCACAGAAGTCGTGCCTCTGAGTGAACTGCCCCTCTTCCATCCCTCTTCCCCAGAGCCCCACAACTGAAGGACTGAGGCAGCCAGCACCATCCTTGCTGTCCCAGGGCCCCAGGGACGGAAGAGCCAGTGGTTCCTGCCCTTAGCAGCCCGGGAGCAGGTCCAGGATGACTGTCCTCTCTGCAGAGGGCCTGGCAGTAGGCTGAGGGGCTTCAGAGGGAAGCCTGGCTGTTCACCATCAATTTAGTTATCCTCAGTTGACTGGTGTTGGGAAAGTGCAGGTACGGTGGACTGTTGTGCAGCTAGTGTGGTAACAGGTCACAGAGCCTGCACCTGCTCCGCCCTGAGGCATGTGATGCCCACCAAGGCACAGGTGGCTGATCCACTACACTTGATTCTATCTGAAGGGCCAGGAGACCTGGTTCGGGTTTGATTGGTTCATGATTGTCTAATTCTTGTTCCTGTCCATGTTGTTTCTCTTGAATAAAGTTGTCAGTGCTTTCATCGAGACTGTGCAGTCTTCCTCTGTGGGTCCTGATGGATCACCACCTCTCTTTCCTGGGTGGTCCTCATAGGCTTGGAATCCACAGAGCTTGGAGCAGAAGACACTGGATTCTGGTGTGTTTTCCATGGGGTATTTGTGTCTCTGTCATTTTCTTCATAACCTGTATGTGCCCAGGGGCTTGAAATAAAAGCCAGTGTTGAAGAGTAGTGTGTTATCTGACAGTCATGGGCCTGTAATCCCAAAAGGAACATCAGGAATTCAAGGTCATTGTTCTCTCTATCAAATTTGAGACCGGCCTGAGATACATGACACAGGTCTCAAGAAAACAAGAGTCCCAGTTTTTTCTCCCAGTGGTGAGAACCAAAGCCAGGCCCTTTACAGGTTGGGCCAGAATCAGAAATACACATCTTGTACCTGGTTTTCTGAGATGTCTCACTCTGTAGGCCAAGCTTGTCGTGGACTGTCTTCTGCCTCAGCTTCCAAAGGGCTTGCGTTACAGGCACAAACCACAGTGATTCAGGAGGGAAATAATGGAGTTGAGTGATGCTAATCTAGTGGTGATAGGTAAATGGTCCCTATGACTACCACTGTCCCTCCAAGCGTCTAGGAACCCACGGTCATAGACATGATCGTGCTCTAGGTCTCCTACTGCCTCTGTGGTGATCGGAACCCTTGGGTTGTCATGACTTAAATACTTCGAGATTGTCATGTGTGTCGGGGGGTACCTGCAGAGGTCAGAAGAGGGCGTCTGATACCCTGGAGCTGGAGTTAGAGACAGTTGTGAGATGCCCAATGTGAGTGCTGGAAACCTAACTTGGGTCTGCTGGCCACTGAGCTGTCTTTCCAGCCCCTTTATTTATTTATTGTACAGAGCATGGAGCCCAGGTACTCAAGAATGCTACACAAGGGCTCTATCGCTATGCTATACGGCCTGCCTTCTTTTTACTTTTGTTTTTGAGACAGGGTCTCCCTATAGCCACAGCTGGCCTGGAACTCGCTATATAGACCAGGCTTTCCTCAATCTCACAGAGACTCGCCTGCCTCTGCCTCTTGAGTGCTGGGATTACAGGTGTGTGCCACCACACCTAGTTTTACTTTTGAAACAAGGTCTTACTAAGTTACCCTAGCTAACTTTGACTTCACTCTGTAGCCCAGGCTGGCCTTAAACTTTCTGTCCTGCTTCTGTTTCATGAGTAGCTGGGATTATAGGCCAGAGTCACCAGGCTGGGCTGAGACTACAGAAATGAACGATGTCAAAATTTAGAAAGCACATCAGTGGAAAGGAGAGACACCATGACTGCCCACGTCCTCCAGTGGGAGCATGTTTGATGTTTTTCTGTGGATCTTTACAAATTTAAGGTGTGGCCTCCATCCGTGTGTTACACAGGTAGAAGAGTGGCCACAGACAAGCCGGAGCTGGCTATGTGCCCCGCCATCTTAGGCACCTCAGTGTGCGATGTCATCAGTCTAGAGCCTCCAGGAGCTGTGGAGGATAGCCCTGAGCAGGAAGTGGGAGAGCCAGCTGGGCTTCCTGTACCCTTGCCCCCAAGTGTCCTTGCTACCAGGTCTGTTCTGTCAAACGGGCCTGTAGCACTTGGTATCTTGTTAAGGGGGGGACCCAGTAAATGGTTGGGGGAGGCCATGAGGGACTCAGAGGGGCTGAGGCCCCACCATGGCAAGAGTGAGTTCAGTGCTAGCCCAGACTCAGTGGAGAAAGCGTTTTTCTTCTCTTTTTTCTTGAGACAGGGTATCACACTTTTTAAAATTTCACTTTTTCAAGATTTATTTTTATTTTTAAATGATGTATATTGGACTGGAGAGATGGCTCAGCAGTTAAGAGCACTGGCTGCTCTTGCAGAAGACCTGGGTTCGGTTCCCAGCACCCACACGGCAGCTGACAACTGTCAACCATCTATAACTCCAGTTCTAGGGGATCTGACACTGCTGTCTGGCCCCATGGGTATTACATGTGGTGCACTTACACACCTGCAGGCAAAACACTTGTACACATAAGAATAAATAAATCAAAAAATATTTTTTAAATTGTGTGTATGCCTGCGTGTCTGTGTTGGTGGTATGTGCGTGTGAGTGCAGGTGCCCGTGGGAGCCAGAACAGCTTCGGATTCCCTGGAGCTGGAGTTACAGGCGGTTGTGAGCTGCTTTATGTGGGTACTAAGAATTGAACCCAGGTCCTCTGCAAGAGCAGCCAGTGCTCCCACCCTCTGAGCATCTCTCCAGCCCCAGGGTATCACAACAGTCTTGCCGTCCAGGCTGGCCTTGAACTCCCAACATTCTTCTTGCTTCAGCCTCCTCCTGAGTGCTGGGATTTGTGTCTTCCCACATCTAGCAAGAAAGCGTCTTTGACCCATGTTCTAGCTTGCTTTCAATTGTGACAAAACACTCTGACCAGTACCAACTTAGGGAGGAAAGGGTTTGTCTCACATCTCCTGGGTCACAGTTCTTCAGGGAGCCCAAGGTAGGAACTCAGGGCAGGAACCTGGAGGCAGGAGCTGGAGCACAGGCCATAGAGGAACACTGCTGACTGGCTTGCTCCCCTGGCCCCTGCTCAGCCTGCTTTCTTGTACAACACAGGACAATCTGCCCAGGGGTGGCACTGCCCACAGTGGGCTGGGCGTTTCTGTATCACTCAATGATCAAGAAATGCCCCACAGGCCAGTTCAATGGAGGCAATTCCCCACTTTGAGGCCCTCTCTACACAGGAGCGTCAAGTTGACACGAAAGCTATCCAGCACAGCCCATCTCTAAGCAGCCCCACAGGGGCATCTGCAGGTGGTGCTGGAGCACGGGAGTAGGGGACGTGGGAGTGGGGTCAGCCCACCCCGCCCAACCCTGAGACCTTTGGAAATGCTGCCCCTGAAGACGCCTAGCCTGCTTAGTGTGGAAAGGACACCGGAGTGGTGCCCGCACCTTCCCTTTCACTGCTGGCTTTTTCCATAGAGGCTTGGCAGTCTGGGTGCCTTTGAGGTTGGGGGGTCCTGAAACATTCCCCCACTATCCCAGGGCTTCTGACCTGTGAACCACTGGGGAGATGCAGGCTCCATCCTCCTCCCACCCTTCCTCTGCCTTCTCTGCACAGCAGGTCACAAAGCCAGACACCAGACAAGCCACGCCCAGGCCCCTTCATGTCTCCTGCCCATAAGCCTGTGGTGCTGCTGACCTTGGGCTTTGGTAGCTGTGGGAGGGGACAACAAACACAGCCACCCACCTTCTCTGAGGCAGGCTCTAGGCAGGTTTGAGGGTGGCACCCCAACTCTAAAGATCAATCCATGATGATGTGAGCAAAGCCTGGCCCCCCGAACCCTAAGGCAGGGGCCCCAGGGCTGTGGTTTATTGGCTGGAGTCCATACTCCATTAAGCTGAAATGAAGGACAGAGAGCTGGACTCAGCTGGTTTTGACTTCTTCAGCACCCTCCAATACGGCACCACCTTAAAAAGACTGAAAAGGCTAAACAGCCAAGAATTAAATATTCTGTGCAAATCAGACCCATGTCAGTTGCCTTGGCCTTGCTGGCCGCCTGCCCTGTCAGGAGGAGGCCCTCCCTGTCCACCATCGGAGTGACAGACAGTACTGCTCACAGTGAATAACACATATTTTGGTTCAAAGCAACTTTAAATATTTCCGTTTATTTTGTTTGTTTTGAGCTATAAGCAAAACCAAAATTGTTCGGAAAATGTGAGTTGGGTGGCTGGGATCATGAGCCCCATGGGGACCTGTCTGCATGTGGGTCCTTCCTTTGAGAGATAGAGGGTAAAAAGCATCCTGGTGGTTCTCAGAGTACTCCTAAAAGCTCTGGGTTCCAGGTGTGCCCGAGTCATCAGGTGTTCCACTTGGGAACTCAATGGAGAGACCTTGGGAGGGGCACTGTCAGGCACACAAACAGCTCCCCAAAGCCAGCACGGCACACCTCCCCTCACTGACCAGACTCCAGCCCCTGATGGGTAAACAGATATCTTTCCCTGGGAAGACAGACTCCTGTACACCCTGGCCCAGGTCCAGAGCCCTGTGCCCAGGAAGGGTGTAGGCATGATAGCTTTGGGCCCAGATCTCGATCCTGCATCCTGCTGTGCTGAGTGTTTGGTTTAAACATGCACAGCCAGAGGAGAACACAGGCCCAAAAAATCAGAACTGAATGGCACCCCCAAATCTGGTAGAGAATAGATTATGGAAACTGAGGACGCTCAGGTATATCTGACGACTCCCACGTGGCCTGGAGCAGGTGCCGGGAATCCAGGCATCTTTGACAGCATCTGGAGGCCCACCCTGTGGCAGAACTCATTTTCAGCCTGGGCCTCCCTGAAACTTACTGCTGGCCAATGGCACCCCCTGGTGGTCACTTCATGCTGGGCCGACACTGCCACATCTGTACTTCCCAAATCTTCCAAGGCCTTGTCCCCGGTCCGGCTCTTAGGAAGAAATGAGAACGGCCAGTCGCTTAAATATTCCTGTGACCTCCAGCCCTCTGATGGCATCTGGCCTTGATTTCAGATCTGATACTCAGACCTCATGGAAGAAACCTATAAGGGACAGGGCTGGGACAAGGGACTGTGTCTGAGCTACCCTAGTGTGTGTCTGGAGACTGAAACATCAAGATGAACACAGGAAGGCTGGCAGAGAAAGGCTGGGAGCCCCTCTCCACTGGGGTTTTTGAGACTGAACAGAGCAAGAGAGATGGAAGCCTGGGCTGAGAGAGAGAGAGAGAGAGAGAGAGAGAGAGAGAGAGAGAGAGAGACAGAGAGACACAGAGACACAGAGACAGAGACAGAGACAGAGAGAGACAGAGAATCCATTAGAAGCCTGGGCTGAGGTAAACCACCAATAGAGGATGGCGCCCCTAGCTGCCCAGCACGTTGAGGCCTTTTCCCTCAGCTAGGCCAGCTCAGTTCCCCAGAGTGCTTTCCCTTTCTCAACAAACTGTCTCTGTTTCTGTTTCTAATTATGTGTCTGGGTTTGATC